TGCAGGTGACTCGAGGAGAATTGGATCGCATCGTCGCGGAGGCGGTAGGTCGGGCGTTGGCTGCGCGAGACGCGGCGATGGTGGAGAAGCCTACCGCCATGATAGAAAGGCCGGCTGTGGAGGCGGCATAGTTGTAAATGGCGAATGGCGAGGCGAGGCGATTGGCCCTTGGCCTCGCCGCGAGGCGAGGCGATTCGCCATGGCGAGGCCTCGGCTACACATGTCACCAAAATGTAACAAAACAATATTATAGCTTGTGCAATTATATATTTATGTTCAAGTGATAAAAATAACATCTAATATCTCCAAAAAAGGCATGAAACACAAATGAAACACATGTCCATAGCACAAACACACGTAGAAATTGGCACACACATAATTAAATACTAGAAATAAGCAACAAGTTCATAGCACAAACACTAAGAAAGTAGAAATACCACATAAAGTTTTAAGTTTGGCACCCACATGGTTAAGTTCTAAAATAAGCAACAAAAGAGAAGCAATAAGAAACAAAAAAATGGAAACATCCATCATTCTTCGTCTTCCTCATCTTCATCCTCATCCTCTTCTTCCTCAAAATTAAATTTTTCATTTTCATTATCCTTGCTCATCATTTTCCTCCTCAAGCAACTCCAAGTCATCTTCTACAAATTCTTCCTCTTCATCAATTAGTCTTAGACTTGAGCCTTTTCCCTTTCCCTTTCCCTTTTCCTTTTCCAAGTCTATTACTTTCCCCTTTCCCTTACCAATCTCTTTGGACTTAGAACTTTGAACTTTTTCCCTAGTTTGATATGTAGGCTCCTCCGCGCCACAAGCCTTAACAACCGCATCCCATGTCAAGTCTTCTCCCTCAAACACCAAATCATCATCATCACCATCACTTTCGCCTTCCATTTTGCCAAGCAACCATTCATTGGACTCTTCAATGTCATTCAACAAAATAGGATCAATCCGATCACGCCCATCATATCGAAGTCTCAAAGCACGATTATATTTCACATACACCAAATCATTCAATCGTTTTTGATCAAGCCTATTCCCTTTTTTGCTATGAACCTACAAAATGTAAGATAGAAAAAGACCATGTCATTATTTATATTTGAACAATTTATTAAAAAAAATATTTTATGAAATACTTACATGCTAAAAAATGCTCCAATTGCGCTCGCATCCCGAAGAACTACATGTGAGACTTAGCACTTTGATGGCAAAAATTCTCAATTCCGGAGTTTGTGTCCCATAGGCGCGCCACCACTCCGCCGGAGATATCGTCCACCGTTGTCTAACCACCAATCCCCTCCCAAAAGTCCCTTCGGACTTTAAATAAATTCCAACTTGAGTGGAGACCTTTTCTTGCTCTTTAAGGTCCGGGACCAATCTCTCCACGCATAAAATGAATTCATCCCCAATCTCGTCCGAAAGATCTAATGAGGTATATGAAGAAAGAAATTGTGGATTCAAATAATGAGCGGCGGCATGTAAGGGCTTATGGAGTTGACAATTCCATCTCTTATCAATGATTTCCCATGCATCCTTATACTTGTCTTCTTTCACATCAAATGCATCCCGGATAGCTTCCTTTGCCTTGTCCATGGCTTCATAAATGTAGCCCATTGCGGGCCTTTTTTCTCCGTCAACCAATCTTAACACACGAACTAAGGGGCCGAAAATTTTTAGAATTCTCAACACATTATTCCAAAATCGAATTGAAAAAATGATCTTGGTAACTTTTACCCCACCGGCTTCTTTCTTCCACTGACTCTCCTCCCATTGTCTTGACCGGAACATGTCTCTCAATTTCTCCTTCAATACTTGCATTCTTTCCAATGTGAGAAAGGCCGTAGCAAACCTTGTGACACCGGCTCGAACAAGTTCCTTCTCTCCCGTGAAATGCCTCAACATATTCACCACCCCCGGACGGACATAAACATACGCATTCACACTCATTGCCTTCTTCAATGTGTCTTTGATATAAGGCAACTTGCCTATATCCTCCAAAATCAAATCCACACAATGCGCCGCACATGGAGTCCAAAACAAATGAGGTCGTTTGTCTTCTAGCAATTTTCCTACAAGGGAAAATTTCAACAATTTAACAATGATAGGACATGAGACCAAACAATCAAAATGAATTAAATTAAATAACACTAAGTAATAACTCACCGGCAAGCACCATTGCACTAGCATTATCCGTAACAACTTAGATAACATTTGATTCACCAATACGCTCCACAAATTTATCAATAAGCTCAAACATCTTCCTTCCCGTCTTCACATATGAGGAAGCATCAACGGACTCAAGAAAAACCGTACCTCTAGGAGAATTCACCAAGAAATTGATCAAAGTTCTTTGCCTCTTATCCGTCCAACCATCACACATCAAGGTGCAACCGTATTTTGCCCATTCTTCCTTACATAATTTGATATAGTCATTATCCACATTCTCCACCGCTTTACTAAGGAAATGCACCTTCGCCTCATACATACTAGGTCCTTGAAGACCCAAACCATATTGGCCGATATGATTCAACATGTTTTGGAAGTTTGGATAAGTAAGAGCATTGAAAGGGATGGCCGCATCATACATCCACTCGGAAATGGCCATGCATACTTTCACTCTAAACTCCTTTTTCCATGCCTCATTAATGGTCGTTTGTTTACCCTTGTCCGCGGTCAAATACATATCCATCGGCCTCGTTTGCCTCGGCCTCTTTTGCGAGTCCATAGTCATTGACATTGAACTTGGAGGTATCGGAGCCTCTCCAGGATCTTCATGATGAATCCCATAAGTTGGTGCGGATATCTTAAAATTATTTTTTTTTGCCGTCGCCGCCGCTTTATTCAACTTGAAGCTTCTTATTTCTTCCACTACCGCAGGAGGAGCTTCAGTACAAACCTTCACACTAGTACTACCTCCGTCAATATGATACTTGGCACGACTAATGCCCCCTTTTGTAGTAGTTCCACAAAAAATGCACTTCAAATCATTTCTACAATCTTCCTTAACCATCCGAACATATTTCCATTGTGGATCATTAGAAGGATATTTAGGCGGAGCTGGAGGATTATCACTAGATTCGGCCATCTCGAGAATAGCACCTAAATATGAAATTACACACAAAAATTATAACTTTAATGATTATTATAATATTTGAAAAAAAAAGCAAAGCAGATTGATGAAAACACCTATTTAGTTATGTTCAGTAATCATCACCTAAATATTAAATTACACATAAAAAAATTACTTTAATAATTATTATAACATTTGAAAAAAAAAAAAGCAAAGCAGATATAATAAAGTGTGGACCATCTTGAGATGAAGACACCTATTTACATGTTCAGTATATGGAAGAAAAACAAATAATAGTGTGGACCATTTCAATTGACACCACTAGTCCACTTTCAATATTTAATAAAATAAATAAGTATTATATTTTCAATTAATTTCCACAAATAGCCATTTTTTTTATCAAATTAATGGTCCATTCCAAACAGTTGAAGCTATTCTTCACACGCGTCTACAAATTATAAATGCTCTGCGACCTTTAAAACCCCTTTCTTCTCCCTCACAAACTCTACAATTAGTATAACAGAAAAATAATAAACAAGCATTTACAAAAATGAAAAAACCCAAACTTTACCTGGGGATGGAGCAGACGCGGCAAGCTCGATCAAATTGAAGGTGAAGATCTTTGGTTTTGTTTTTGCTGTCCGATAAATAAACCCTAGGTCTGCCTCGATGTGTTTCAAATTTTAGTCGTTTTCCAAAGAGGCAGAGTTTTAATTTCAGTCGATTTCCAAAAAGTGTTACACGTTTTCTTAAAAAAAAGGAAAAAAAGGTCGGCTGCGTCTAAAATGGGTTGCGCCTTTAATTACTCTGAAAAGAACCGTGGCGCGCCACACGATCGCCTCTCGCCATTCAAAAAAGCGAGCCGAGGCGACCCAAAGCGAGCGCCTCTCGAACATGGTCGCCTCAGGCAGTGACGAGGCGATGTAGTCCTCGCCCCGGTCGCCTCGCCTCGAGGCGACGCCATGGCGTCGCCATTTTAAACTATGGTATCTGCTCTACGTCCTCCCAAGCAAAGAAACTAACCGTTGGGACGGGGATAGTCAGTTACGCGCCAAATATTGCATGAAACATTTGGCTTCCGTAAGTGTACATTCGTCATTATATCGGAATTGAATTTTTTTTTTTATGGTCTTTACGCATTCGACTTACCAAACCTTGTGACTTGCCCATGTAGCTCAACGCAGGGCTCGCTGGCCTCCTTCACGAAGCCATCGCCGGAGAAGCCCCCTCCTCCGCCGAAATTCAAAAACTTAAAACAACCTATGATCTCGAGGCTGCCAAGGTGAAGGCCCTAGAGGCCGAACTCAAAGCTACGAAGGCGGAAGTGGCACGCCAAGCTGGCCAAATCAAAGCACAAGCTTCTGAGATTGCTCATCACCAATCCTCCCTCAACAACCTACATGCCCAGCTCATCCTAGCCGAACAGGAGGCGCTCGCAAAAGAGGCCGCCGCACGCCGCGAGACCCGCGAAAGCTTTCTCTATTCGCCCACCGGTGGTCGGTTTCTCGACCTCTTTCGCCAGGAGTTGCTCAAACTCTACCACAACTCTATGTCGTTCCTCGGCAGGCTGTACCCCGCCGCCAAGCAATATCTCCTAATTGGCGCCGCCCGAGCTCTAGAACAAGCTCGCACCACCGGGAACTTGGATGGATTTAGCGAGCCCGACTTGCTTCGAGACACGCCCGATCCGGAGGGTTGGTACGGGGACTCTAGCCAGCCACTCATTTATCCCTGGTGGGAAACCGCACTCGAGAAGGCAATGCAGAAGTTAGATCTTGGTGATGTTGGAGAGGAGCCCGGGCAATTGGGTGACAATGGAGGAAATGTGCAGAATGCCAACCCTCCCAATGACGAGGCCGCCGAAGACGCGGCGGTTGAGCCGGGACCCCTCGCCGACGAGAACACTTAGGTCTTATTATAGTTGTTCTTTCTTTTGCGTGCGTTTTGGATATGTACTATGTATGACTAGCCCGTTTTGCTCACCTCTTTTGATCATGTTGCGTTTTGGATTGTATCGTGGGCCCTAATTAATGTAAGACATTTGCTACCTTTTGCTTTTGTGGGTGATTTACATGTGCATGCTAATATACCATCGACGAAGATTAGAGTCTAATCATACTCAAGATTTGGCCACGAGCCATATTCTGCTCGAAAACTATCCGACAACTTGCTATAACAATCTGCCTGGCCTGTTATTTCGTGAGCGTTATTTTACCGAGACAAATCAGTCCGTTCGAGCTGTTATTCGCGAACATCATTCTGCTCGGAATACACCTCCGATGCATTCTGCCTGGAACGCGCCCCCGAGCCTCCACTAGCTCAAACACATCGTCTGCATGATACTGACAGCACCCGAGCGAATAAGGGTCCGGCCTTAAGCCATCACATCATTACCCACAGCGCCCAAACCCCACAGGGTTCGGCCTTAAGCTGTCCATCTTTTAAGCAGTGCTCGAGCCGACTAGAGCTCGGCTCTAAGCCATTATGTTAATTTGCACGGCACCCAAGCTCAAAAGAGCTCGGACTTAAGCCGCTATATCAATTCGCACGGCACCCGAACTCACAAGAGCTCGGACTTAAGCCGCTATATCAATTCGCACGGCACCCGAACTCACAAGAGCTCGGACTTAAGCCGCTATATCAATTCGCGCAGCACCCGAACTCACAAGAGCTCGGACTTAAGCCTCTATATCAATTCGCGCAGCACCTGAACTCACAAGAGCTCGGACTTAAGCCGCTATATCAATCTTCAAAAGGACACGCCCAAATATGCTGCCCAAAGTATCATTCAAAAGGGCAAATTTAACTCATTCAAAGTCCAGCAAACATTCAAAGACAACTCCGAAGTATCGTGGGCACAATTGGCCAAATAACATACGATTAACCATAACTGAAAGCGGTCGTTATTCAGCCGGAATATGTCTCCACATTATTACGTGCATATATAATTTAACGTGCATCAAGCACGGATCGCAGTTAACTAACTTCAACAATAATATTTCTTAAGGTGTGCAACATTCCAAGGCCAGGGAAAAACCTTACCCTCCTGATCCTTCAGCGCATAAGCTCCCCCCGCAAACACTTTGTGAATGATATAAGGCCCCTCCCAATTTGGTGCCAATTTCCAACGTGCTTAAGCACATCGACTCTTCTCCAGACAAGGTCACCCACCTGGAACTATCTTTTTCTCACCTTCTTAGCATGGGCGAGACACATCCGCTGCTTGTACTGCACCGTCTTCAACCAGGCCCAATCCCGCGCTTCATCAATCAGTTTCAGTGCCTCCTTCACTAACTCCTCATTTTGAACTGGCTCAAAAGTGGCTATCCTCTGGGATTCAAGGCCGACTTCCACCGGGATTACAACCTCCATCCCATACAACATGCTGAAGGGTGTTTCTCCTGTCGTGGACCTCGGCGTAGTTCGGATGCCCAAAGCACTGAGTCGAGCTCATCCACCCATGCACCAGAAGCTTTGTCAAGCCTAGTCTGCAAACCCCGTAGTATGGTCCTGTTGGCTACCTCAGCCTGCCCGTTTGCTTGTGGATGCGCTACAGATGCAAAATGCTGCTTAATGCCCATCTCTGCACACCAAGCCATTATCTTCCTTCCCCGGAATTGCGGGCCGTTATCAGAAACTAGAACCCGCGGGATACCATACCTGCAACAGACGTTGGTAAACAAAAATTTAATGACCTTTTCCTCAGTGATTTTGGCCATTGCCTCAGCCTCCACCCATTTACTAATGTAATCCACCAAAACCAATAAAAACTTTCTCTGGCCAGACCCTTGTGGAAAAGGCCCTACTATATCCATCCCCCATTGAGCAAACGGCAGGGGTGAGCTCATGGGCGTTAACTCCTCCGCTGGTACATGGACGAGTTGCCCATGCTGTTGACATTTCAAGCATTTCTGGACCAACTCCCTCGCCATGGCTCTCATGGTTGGCCAAAAGTAACCCGCTCTTAGCGCCTTCCCCCCCCAAGCCTTAATGTGATCTCCACAACAACCCTCATGTATCTCCCTGAGCACGTAACCTCCTTCTTCCCCTGAGAGACACTGCAGATGCGGCCCCGAATATGATCTCTTGAACAAAACTCCCTGTTGGCAGAAAAATCTCAAGGCCCTTCGACCCAATTTGTCAGCCCGAACATCCCATTGTCCCAACGCTGCTTGCGTCAGCCAATACCGTATGGGACTCTTCCAATCTTCCTTTACCTCTAGTTCCATAACCCCTTCCAAAATGCTAGACCCCATTTGCAATAGAGTTACTGAGCGTGACTTGCGATTCACTAGTGAGGCCGCTACTTTAGACAACAAATCAACACGCCCATTACTCTCCCTTGGTATCTACACAAGCTCCCAAAAATCGAAACCCTTAGCTAACGCTCGTGCTTCCTCCACATATTTCAGCATCCTATCTTCTTTAGCGCCGTATTCACCCTTCATCTGCTCCACCACCAATTGAGAATTTGAGTGAACAACAACTTTCATTGCTCCTGCGCCTGCCACCAACTGCATGCCCTTTAACAACGCTTCATACTCGACCTCGTTGTTTGAGGCTCTAAAAGTGAGATTTACGGCAAACTCCATCGGTTCTCCCCCTGGTGGAAAGATTAGGACCCCAATA